CCCTAACTCTAGAATCATCTTTAACCCTCTCTGAGATTTCTGCTTCTTCCCGTTGGAAGTGTTCCTAGTGCGGAATCACAATATCAAATGCCTTTTCAAAAAAGAGTCCACTGTGATCTTGATCTGGGCAAAGGGCTGGAGAAGCAGTTGGTACATGAAGGTGGTGGAAGTGGGGGGGCATCAGGTGTGGAGCTGCTGGGACCAGGGGCAGAGATGGGTGGGGAGGAGGACTTCTCCCTTTGCTGAGTCCCTTGGCCCTGACTCTTAGTCCTGGTTATCAGTCCATCTGTATCCATGATTCAGGACCTTCCTTATCTTCTCCCTTTCATACTGAACAGAAATTGAAGCCTTTATTGTTCAATTACCCATTCCAGATTATGTTTGAAATCTTAGCTGTTCCGGAAAAAGTAGTTGTAGAAAAAAAGTTCCGGATTGTGATCATTATTGGAAATGAAAATTAAAAATTAATCTTCAAGACATATAAATTTATTGTCCTCTTAAAGACATTTAAAATAGTTGAGCGAGTCTAGTTTTTTATCAAGGGTTCTCCCCCACCTCCTAGTGCTTCTGTGGCTTTGGATGCAGCGCTTTCTCCTTGGCGCTAGGCTGTTTCCATTGCAGCTGCCTGCCTGCGCCGATACTGTTGCGGCTGAGACTGTTGGCTGGGACCGGAGCAGAGATGTTACAGTCTCCTGGCCTCTGTGTTCCTGAGCCAATGTGTGGGATGCGTGTGAAAGCAAAGAAGGGTCAGCTGTGTGCAAGAGAGAAGGTTCTGAACTTTACGGGTGTCTGGTTGTTGCTGTGCCTCAGTGCTGTCTCTGAATTCGGCCGTGTTCAGTCTCCTCTAAGCCAGGAAGTGTGTGTGTGTGTGTGTGTGTGTGTGTATGGATATGTGTTTAGATTAACCCTAAACTCTATAGAGAAAACCAGCTAACTAGTTGCCATTGAGTTGACCCTGACTCATGGCAACCTCATGTGTGTCAGAGTAGAACTGTGCTCCGTAGGGTTTTCAGTGGCTGATTTTTCAAAAGTAGATCACAGGCCTTTCTTCAAAGGCGCCTCTGGGTGGACTTGAACCTCCATCTTTCGGTTAACAGCTGAGCGCATTAACCATTGGCACCACCCAGGGACTCCAAATTCTATGGGAAAGAGGCCCCATAAGCATCCTAGAAATTATAAACATGGAAGATAGCATTTTACTTGTAAGGTGTCTTAAAATTACCTGGGTATAGTAAAACATAAACCACAAAAATGGTCCATTCTTAAAAGACACTGATTCAATTAATCTATCAGACATTAAAAAAGGAAAGCATCCCAGCAATAACTGAAAAATACATGCTTCTCTTTGAGTTTTAAGCACAGACTTTGGAAGAGTGCAGACCAGTGTCTCATTGTCTGCAAGGACCCTGCTGCTTTCAGGCGTCCCCAGACCACCTTCTTTTGATTCTGAGGTGGAGCTGACCCTTTTTTGTCACACGTGTACACACAAACCAGTTGTCATGGTGTCGATTCTGACTCCTGGCGACCCCATGTGTTTCAGGGTAGAACTGCTCCATAGAGTTTTCAGTGACTGTGATCTTTCAAAAGTAGACCACCAGGCCTTTCTTCTGAGGCACCTTGGGGTGGATTTGAAGTACCAACCTTTCGGTTAGCAGCTGAGAGCATCAGCATTTGCACCACCCACACAACAGTCTTTTTTCTCTGGTTGAGCCTTCGCAATTACACTGAGTTGTGTGGTGGAAGCCCTCAAAGACTTTTCCTTATTGAAGCAATCAGTGCCACAGTCATTCAGTCGCAAGCCCCCACTTTGGCTTCCCTTAGACCGATGCTGGGGAGAAAAGTTAGCTATTTTCTGGGGCTGCTAAATGGTTTCCTTGTGAGGTGCAGAATGGAGACCAGAAAATGGAGAGTGCAGACTATAATTGTGGGGAGAGAGGCTGGAAACATGTCATTCTTTCCTGGGAACTTCTTTTCTGAAGCAGCTGAATGAGACCTTTACAGCCAAGGGTGGTGGCTTCTCCTTCAGAATGGCTGGCCCACTGCCCAGTGTGAAACATTCCCCAAATATGCAACTTTTTGAGTGTCCTAACAGCCTGAGCTGAGAGCCGCCTGCAGCCGGGAGAGCTGGCATCCCACGGGGTTGCTGGGGGTGGGGGCATGGCACTCAGCCCTGGGTCTGCCAGATGCCGGGACGGCCCAGCCCTGGTTACGTCGTCCTGGGGAAGAACCTGGCCAGCAGTCCGGCCATGACAAGAGCTGAGGCTTTTCTCTCTTTAAATCCCCTTCTTCATTCAAATCAAATCCCATAAAAAGGCTTTTGTTGAAGGAGCAGCTATGGCATCTTGGTGCCGTATTCCTCTCAGTATTACCAAAGATGGATAAAAAGAAAATCGTTAGTTGAATTCCTGGGCAAACAGATCTGAAAACTGACGTGGGAGGAGTTGAGGTATACGGCAGCCCTCATATGGCATTTGTTTTGTTTGTGCAAGTGATGAAGCCAAAGAGCAAAGGAACTTCTTGTGGATGGTAAGAAGCCCCCCTGCCAGGGAGCGCCATGGCAGCAGCCATCCTTGCTTATATGTCTGGGCTAGGTCATGCTGGGTGGGGCAGAGGCTTGGGCTCTGTAGGGCTGTTGCTGCTTGGACACTCTTCTTGAAGGGTGCAGTTAGCACGGTTGGGAGAATCACGTATGATCCCTCAGGAAGAAAGATGCTCTGATTTCTTTATCATCTGTTGGGGAGGGAGCCACTTTTATGAACCTTGCTCAAGTCTACTTTTGTGGATTTTTCCAAGATGTAGTCACCACTGTGGTCATACCTGGGCATTATGCTGCCTGATGTTTTAGGTGCTGGAAACAGTCACATCAAACTATAATTAAGGAAATGGCTATTTCTTTCTCCTTGGTCTTAAGCTTTGGCTAAATTTTGTCTCTGCTTAACTTCCATGACATTCCTGAAATCTTTATTTCAAGGAGGCCCCTGATGGAAGGACCTAGGCAGAGGGCGGTTTTATGTGTTTTGCTGATTTCCTGTTACCATTCGCCCGTTCAGTTTGATCTTCTTTTGCTTTAGCTTTAAAAGCACACAGTAGTCAAAAGCAAAAACACCCAAGCCCCAAAGCAATGTCCGGTAAATTACAGACTTTGGCATTCATAATAAAAGAACTTTCTTTCCTGTGGCTTAGTTTTTTTTTTCTCTTCAAACTCAATGCTTCGCCTGCTCAAACTGTGTGGAGTTTTGGAGTTTCTTCATGTTTAGGCATTTAGAATAAAATGTCACGTACCTTCTCTTAATGTTACCCTCTTTTATGTGGGTGTTCTGCCATCCTTGCCTTTCATATATATATACATTTTTTTTGCCAATATTCTTCTCCTAATGCTTCTGGCTTCCTGCTTCTTCAAGCACATCTCTCGTTTTACTCCTTTGGACTTGGCCCTAGCTCCCACTTGGCATTTTATATGTGTACCGCTCAGATTTTATAAATCTTAGTCCCAGTAAGTATCAGTCACTTCTGGCATCTTGGAGTAGCAGTTAAGCATGTGGCTTCTAGAGCCAAGTGACTTAGGTCTAAACCCTGGCTTGACTACTTACTAGTTGTGTGACCTTGGGTCAGTTCATTCTCCTCTATAATAGACTTCAATTCCTCAACAGTAAAAGGGGATGATAATAGTACCTATGTCACAGAGCTCTTCTGTGGAATAAATGAATCAGTATATGTGAAGTGATGGGAACAGTGCCTGACACATGGTAAGCTACTATTATGGTTTAGTTTGGGCTTCTGTGTCTAATGTGGGGTTTGTTTGGTAAATACTAGCTATTAGGGAGGATCAGATAGTGCATGAGGATGGGCTTGATCAGAGGAATGGTGGTAAGTACTCCAACCTGTTACTGGTTTTGTAGTACCTCTGGTCCTTGACAATATAGAGGATAAAATCTCTTGACTAAACTATGCACCCTGGACTGCTTTTTGGTCATTCTCTCCACTTGTATAGCTCTCTTTGGGTGTCTGTCTCCCTCAGAAGCTATTCCATTTCCTCTTGTCACCTCTTTCTTTGTAGTTCCAAGCAGCAGCCATGTTCTTGTCTACCCTCCCAACCCCTGGTCTCCCTCTCCCATGTTTGAAGAAACATCTTTCTTCTCTACACCTCACGGGCATGCGGAGCGTATACCACCACCATCTGGCTACACAGCTGCATGATCACTTTCATCTCATTGTTGAGGGAGGAGGGGTCTTTGTAGAAGGTCATCCAGACACCTCAGTCCACTGCAGCTGGAGGTGGCTTAGCCATAGGATGACCCTAAAACCTATAAGATGTGGTGCCAAAGGCCCAGGAGAATTCTAACCCTCTTTAGACAGGCTCCCACATCCTGTACAACACTTTGCTTTGTTGTTCTGCATCAACCGTGCTTGTCTTTAGAGGGTAATTTGCCCACCCTGTCCAGCAGGAGAGTTGTTCCCCACTTTTCATCGCTCGCAGTTTCTCCACTTTTGTACGCGCAAGTGAATTCATTAATGAATACCCCAACAGACTGTAAGCCTGCCTAGACAGCCATTCTCGTTGTTGGGCTAATTGTTAGCTGGGGTTTTTGGATGCCATTCATTTCACATTAAGGCTCCTAATTAATCTCAGCACAGTTCTCAGCAGAAGAAAGGCTGATAGGGAGAAACATCCCCAATTATCATGAGAAAGGAAATGTCAAGAGCCCCGTTGAGTTTTCCTGGCATCCACTGCTTGTCTCAGAAGAAAACCGCCCTCAATGACCAAAGGCAGCCTGGCGATCAACTATGAAAACTCAGGGTGTGAGAGCTTGAGGAGCCCCTGATCACGCAGACCCACCTCTGCAGGAACCTGCTGGGGTCCACACGCTCCTGTCTGGGAACACCAATTGTGTTTCCAAAGATATTGTGGAGAAACCTCTCTGCTGCTCCAGAAGTGGGCGGGGTGACTCTAATCCGGAAAAACTAAAGGTCTCCTCCTTTGTATGCTTTTGTGCCTGCAGGACAGAAAATTCTTCATCATCGAAGTGACATTTTAGAAACAGTGGTCCTGATCAACCCTTCAGATGAAGCAGTCAGCACTGAGGTAAGCCCTTTGGTTCTGCAGAGTCAAGGGAAGAGCAGGACCTGCAGATCATGCAGGACAGGACCCAGGTGATCCGAGGGGCTGGGGCAGGTGGGGGCAGGGGGAGGGACACAGACAAGAGAAGTTCCAGCCCAGGGATGCTTCCTTAACCCCCAATCAGTGGCCTTTCTCTGCATCAGCACCATCCTACAACCCCGCTACCCCCACTCCACCTCCCCAATCCACTTACTCTGAACTTATGAAGCCCTCTTCCCTTCTTTAATAAAGGCAAAGTAGAAGATGCTGGCTGGAACTGTAATGTTTTGTCGGGTCAAGGGAGTATAAAACCTTGAGTATATATGGGGGATGATGATATTGCTGGCATGGCGTCTGGGAGGGATGTAGTAAGGGAAATAGACTCCAAGCCCTTGGAAAATACTAGAACCAAATCTGGAGAAGATGGCATTTCTGATGGAAGCTCCATTGAGATTTATCCTGCACCCCCCTTATCACTACTGAAAGGCAGGATGGCATAGGGATCAGGTGCATGGACCCTGGTGCCCGACGGCCTGGCTTCGTAATCCCAGGGCTGTCACTTACTAGCTGGGTGGCCTCAAGCAAGTTACTTACTGCCTCTTTGTCTCCTGTTTGTATCCACCTCTATGACATGGAGAGCATAACAGTGCCTACCTTTAATATTCATTGTTAATATTGTGATTAGAAGTGTCAAGTGCTTAGAACAGAGTGTGGCACGTAATAACTGAAATATTTGCTGTTGTTATTATGCATGTTATTATTACCATCATGTGAAATTGATGCCAGAGAGAGTAATTGGGTGCTTCAGAGCCACTCTGAGATAAGAACTTGGCTGAAGCCAGGACTCCTCGGTCACCCAGCCCAGGAGTTGATACAGCTGCATTTTCCATGTCCTTGATTACAGTTTAGCATCTTTGAGATTGAGTTGCTTCTTGGATATTAAAATACTCAAAGTCCCTAGGGGCTTTCATTACCTAGTGTCTCTTCTGCCCATGATTTGAGCATCTTTTTGACTGTAGCCTTTCTTTTTTTTAAAAAAATAGAGATATAATTCACATACCATCAAATCCACCCTTCTAAAGTGTGAAATTTAGTTATTTTGAGTATATTCACAAAGTTGTGCAATCATCATCGTTATATAATTCCAGAATATTTTCGTCAACCTTAAAAAATCTCATTCCTCATTCCCCTCAGCTCCTGGCAACCACTAATCTATTTTTTGTCTCCATTCATTTGCCTATTCTGATCTTTGATTAATCGGATCATATAATATGTGGCCTTTTGTGTCTGCCTTCTTTTACTTAGCAGAACATTTTTAAAGTTCATCCATGTTGTAGCATATACCAGTACTTCATTCCTTTTCATGGCTGCATATTATTCCATTGTATGGGTATACCACATTTTGTTTATACACTCATCAATTGATGGACATTTGGGTTGTGTCCACTTTTTGGCTATCACGATGTATCGTGTTTTGATTCCACTTCCGCCTGCTTCAGATCTGCAGGACCTCTTTGATAATTCTTCAAGGCTCAAGGTTGAGGAAAGTGATGAGACAGCAATCTCTCTGTGACTAACAGAATCAGGAAGTAATTATAAATTGAAACAAGCTGGAGGATTTAATGTATGTCCAGGCAGACTGCCTGGAACAACTGTGAAAATGGAAAAAGAAGAATAAGGAATTCAGGCTTGCCTGTGGAGCAGATGGGGCTGGAACAATTACTTAGGCACATGTGTCTTCCATGATTAGACTGTAGGGTTGTTAGGGGAAGGAGTCATGACCTGGTTATTTTTCTCTCTCTCCCTTGGTGCCCACCATGATGCCTGATGTGGAGTAGGTGCTCAACTGATTTGGGGTCTGAATGAATATCTTGGTGCTTACAGCCCTGTTTCTGCTGAAGGACAGCCTGGCTTACTGCCACTTAAAGCTCACAGCAAGTTCTTTAGTGCAAACTACTTATAATTCTATTTAAAAGACCCCCATTCAGGGGCAGCCTTTTGTTTATGTTGTTTATGTTCGGCTCCTGGCCGATCTCATTGAAGACCGCATCTGGAGCTGTGTGCTCAGTGTATGGCTAGGAAGGAAAAGGATGCTGGATGGGAGGGAGGGCTGACTTGGGACCCTACTTGGAAACCTATCATTCCCGAGGCAGTTGGGGATCTGGACAATACTTGGTGACTCATGTGAGATATTTGCAAGTCTTCCCATGTCCCACAGACTACCTGCTGCTAGCAGACACTTCGAGCAGCTGTGTGCCGACGTGGAGACTGCTTTGAAAAAGAGGAGGAAACTATGAGAAGAAAGTCAATGACTGCTACTGTCATGGTTGTAGCAAAACTTTGAAAATGGCACTCATGGGCCAGCTGGTGGCTACAGTCGTGGGCTTTGTGGATGATGGCTACAGGCAGGGCTCTGTCTAACCCCCCAAGGGACATAAGAATGCCAGGGAATGAATGAGGCTCCAAAGGCTCGTCCTGAAGGTGGGGTGGCAGTGCCACCTATGGCTCACGCCCTGCCCCCTGTGCTTTGTTTCAGGTGCGCTTAATGATCACGGATACTGCCCGACACAAGCTGCTCGTGCTGACAGGGCAGTGCTTTGAAAATACTGGAGAGCTCATTCTCCAGTCCGGCTCTTTCTCCTTCCAGAACTTCATAGAGATTTTCACCGATCAAGAGGTGAGCTCCTGTCTGGAAAACTCTTAAGCTTTTTAGTTACTTGGTGATTGTTGCAGCTAAAGGCTGCTCTTTGAAAGTAGTGGAGGAAGTTAGAGGGAGAAGGGAGAGAATGTTACACCTCCTTTGAAATAAGCAAAAATATATGATACAACATACTATATAGTTCAATGGCCCATCACCAATTATAATTAACTGGACTCATCTATAATTAATTTGAACCATTCTCAATGTGCCCAAGATATAGATGGGTGGGTGGAGGTCAGCACAGTCAACATTTTACAGATGGCAAAAAATGATGTCTGAGAAGCATGACAGAGACAGAAGGAAACCCCAGGTTTCCTGTTTTTATAAATGAATACTCCCCATGAATACTCCCCAGATCTCTTGGGCTTTTGGTAGGATTTAACTGCTCTAGTCTCTTCCAGCACTTGTACCTACTTTTCCTGTTCTAATTATTTCAGATTTCTTACTTTTAATTCCTGGTCCTATTGTTAACTTGGGCTGAGAAGGCACATTCTAGAAAGGGAGATATATAGGGAAATGGAGCATATCTATTATCCAAGAAAAAGATGGTTAAAGTAGCTGGCCTGAGGCTGGACCATTAATATTTCTTATAAACACCTGTCTTATAAAAAGGTGATACATGTGAAGTGTTAAAAATGATATGAAGTTAGTGGTATTTGCTAAAATCAGATAAAAGGTTTTAATTTGGTTATTTCTACTTGACAATTTATCCTGGCTAGGAAACTTCTATTTCCAAGATAACAGCCCTCCTTCATTTTGCTTAATTGTGTATAGCAGTTACAGAAACGATTCTGGCCCTTCACCATGGCAGGTTGGGGCCTGCCTGGAGCTGGTAGCGGATTCCTCAGTGGAGAGGCTGAGGGATGTGCTGACAGGATGATTTACCACTTCTGTTTAGAACCGTCTTCCTGAGATGGCGGCCCTTGGTCTCGTGGGTACTGCGGAGGGCCACGTGTCTTTCTGCATTTAATCTTGGTTAGCCCTGCACTTCACAGAGAGATCTCTGCGTACTTTTTCAGTACTGGCAAGAGCTGTGAACAGGCTGCCCAGCTTCATCTGACTCACCTAGAGGCTTTTGCAAAAACACTGGTCAGATGGCATAACTGAGTGACACTCTCCACCCACTGCAAAGCACTGTGAAAAGGAACATTTTACTTAGTGTTTAAAGTCCCAGCTTGCAGAATGGTGGTGTCATCTGTGTCTTGAGGCAGATAGCACTGCCTCCCCACCACAACTGCAAAGGGACCCCAAGTCAGTCTGCTGGCTCCTTCCACAGAGGCGCAAAGGCTCACTCACAGCCGGTGAAATGAACATTTTCCAGAATGAAAACTTTAGCCCTGTCTTTCTCCAGAGTTCACAATCTGTCTTCCTCCAAGGCTGCTAGAATTCAGGCTCTATGCCTCCTTCATCTTTGTATCCGTTGCTCTCAACACAAAGGCTCAGTAAACCCTTGACAGGAGTCTCTGGGTGGTGTAAACAGTTCATGCACTCAGCAGCTAACTGAATGGTTGGAGGTTCGAGTCCACTCAGAGATACCTTGGAAGAAAGGCCTGGTGATCTACTTCTGAAAAATCAGCCACTGAAAACTGTATGGAGCACAATTCTACTCTGGCACACATAGGGTTGCCATGAGTCAGAATCACCTTGATAGAAACTGGTCAACCTTTGTTAAATTGCATTGAAATTACAAAGCTAGAGCTGCAATGCTCACTGTAACTACTGACTTGAAATTGGTGTGTGAATCTTATGCAAGGTTGTGTCCCCATGCTCCTGTTTTGCTCAGAGGCAGTCAGACATTTGCCGGGTAGCTGGTAAGATCACACAGTTTCAGCACCTTGTCCCCGGGGAAGGAAGAGAGCTGTGGAGGCCTGAATATAGCCTCAAGGCCCAGCGGCACAGATGAGCAGTTAACTGGTGTGTTTGTAGGCTCAGTTCAGCCCTGAGCTCTCGGCTCATTCACCTGCACACGGGTGCCTCTCTGCATCCCTTTGCAGTTCTGCACTTAGTTTCTAGTGGTTTGTTGCTACTCCATGTCATTGGTTTGTATTTTTCACAGTAAAATCAAGCAAAGGAAATATGTAAAGAAAAGGGTTTGTCATTGCCAAATTTTTAAATAAGGAGGTATCACAGTTCATCCATCTGGACTTCAAATAATCTCTCTCTTTTTTAGTAAGGCAAAGTATTGTGAATATTGCTGCTTAAGTCATTTTTGCCGGTCCACAGAAGTAGAATTTTAGCACAGTGGTCTGTGCATGCATCAGATTTTGCCACTAATTACAGAAGAAAAAGAAATGGCTTTAATTGAATGAAGAATGTGAGTTTCATGAAACAGCAGATTCCTCAGGGTTTGTAATCATTCGGGAGGGTTCTGAAGGGCACACATTTTCATTATGTTCAGGAAGATTTCATTAAAGCCAGAGACTATGTCATACTTTCTTCTGCCTTCCCAATTCCCCCAACTCCGATACACTGGAGAAAGTAATGCTCAACATATGTGGAAAAGATTCTCCAGCCATTCCCCCAACAGATTAGATCAGTGGTGTCAGGAATGGAGCGGAAGGCAAAGGAAGAGGAGAACGCTGGGTAGATGTTCTACCCAGATGTTCCTCCTGCCCCGATCAGAGTAACTCAACCTTTGTTTTATACATTGCTGGCTTGGAAGGAAGGATGCCACAGGTAAAGTGAATTGGAAATCCCTGAGCTAGACCAGTGGCTCCTGGCCTTTTTAGAGCTATGACTGCTTATTATCTCCTTGGAAGAAGGGTTGAGTGTAGAATGTCTCAGTAACAAAGGGACATTAAAGGCTATTTGGTGTCCAGTTCTATTTCTTTTTATCATGTCCTTGAAGCATACAAGTCACTCAAGAGAAACCAGAAATACATAATTTGGGAAAAACAAAAACAATCAATTTCTGGAAAAGAATAGCTAAAAATAAATGTACTGAAAATCGGAACTGCCCATGTATTTTGAGCTTTAGGTTTTTTTTGTGTGTGTGTGTGTGTTGGAAGTGAACACAAAAACCAGAATTTACAGATAAAAAAGTCATCTGGCTAACTCATCCCCTCCCTGAAATCCAGGGATGTGAAATCACCATCTCCTAGGGGCATTTTTCAATCTCTTGTCAGAAAATGTTTCCTTAATTTGTCTCATTGTATCTTCGAGGAAGGAATGTGATCTCGTTTCTACCTGAGAGTGTCTTAGACACCCTCCACCAACATTGCCAATGTTTATTATTATTTTCCTTCTAGATGAAATATCAGTTTCACCCACTGTTCTTCATAAGACAAGATATTAAAAGTTCCTTACATTTCCTGGTTACTGCCCTTCAAACCTGCTCCATTGGCAGGAAGGAGACATGGGATGGGCATGGGGGAAAGTCAAGAGTTCAGCCCTGGTCGTGTGTTAGTGCCTTGGTGTTATCAGAGAGCGCAGCTCTGGTCATATTGAGTTCTTGGTGTCTTGGAGTTACCACAGAGTTGGATCTATGAGTCCAGAGCTCAGGGAACTCAGAGTTGGGCTGGAGATATTAATTTGGAAAGGCATCAGGACATTAACTCTTTGCTGTCGAGTCAGTTCTGACTTATAGAGACCCTATGGGACAGAGCAGAGCTGCCCCATACGGTTTCCAAGGAGAGGCTTGTGGATTCGAACTGCCAACCTTTTGGTTAGCAGCCGAGCTCTTAACCACTATGTCACCAGGGCTCTATCAGCATATTAGAGGTATTTAAAGCCCTAACACTAGATGAAATGAGCTAGAGAAATGTATTAAGAAGTGTCAGGGGCCCATATGTAGCATTTAAAGGTTAAGGCTAAGGGAAAAGAAGCCAGCAAAGGTGAATTGTTCCAGTTTCTAGAATTTATTTTTTGGTCCTAGTTTCTCTAAAATATCATAACTCAAACTGGACACCATCTTCCAGAGGTCTGTTGATCAGGTTAGGATTCTTGTTTAGTTTCCAACAAATCTTCTATGAAATAAGTCTAAAAGTAAGTTTTGGCCATCTCCATTCACAATTAAATGTCAGTTGGGAGAGGATGCAGGCTTTGTGAGGCTCTGCAATTTACACAATTTGGGGGTTCCCTTTAAGAAAAAGAATATAAAATTATTAACATGCAATTAAGTACAGATGTTTGGAAGGGGACCACGCCAGTGAGGGGGTCTTAAAACTTTCACTTCTTTAGCTTCATGATAAATTCATTTGACTGTCAATCAGAATCCCTGAGTCTTTTCCACGGGAATCATCATCAGGCCACATCTCCAATCTGGCACTTCACGCAGCTGGTTTTTGGACCTTTCATTTATGCCCTTAGAATGCCATTGTGTTAGAGTTGATTTAGCTATCATCATCCCAATGTCAAGGGTTTTTATAAATGTTTTAATTCTGACACTTCCGATTTTGCTAGGTATTCCATTTTCATGCTGACCACAGATTTGATAAATATTTCTTCACCATTTTCATCCAAGTCAGTACTTAGCAGGACAAAAATGAGCCCTGAGGTAGGCTATCATAGACCTCCCTCCAGGTTCCCGTTAAGCGGCACTATTTATATGTCTAGTCCCTGGTGGTGCAACCGTTAACATGCTCAGCTGCTAACTGAAAGGTTGGAGGTTTGAGTCCACAGAAGAAAGGCCTGGTGATCTACTTTTGAAAAATCAGCCATTGAAAAGCCTATGGAGCACAGTTCTATTGTGAAACACATGGGGTCGCTATGAGTCAGAATTGACCTGATAGCAACTTTTTTTTTTTTAAAATTGATATAGCTGGCCATAAATCTACCTAATTCTGTTATCACACTATTCAGAAGTCCTTCTAAATGCCCTACTAAAACCCAGAGATACGCTGTCTGCTGTATTTCCTCATCAGTCAAGCAAGTAACTTAATCAAAAAAGGAAATGTAGTTAGTAGCCTATGGTTTAGGAATTCAAATCTTGTTTCACTGATGCAATCTGCAGTAAAGCTATTTATTTCCTATCTTTTCCTTCCTCATTCAGTATGCCTGCATTTAGTGAAAAAAAAAAAAAAAAAAAAATGTAATTAACAAAAAAGACTATCTTTGCCCCAAAGTAATATTTCTTCCAGTCCTGTCTTTCATCCATCTTTGTAAAAGCCAGGGTAGGGTAGCAGTCAGTGTGTTTGATAAATATTAGCAGGCTCTCGTCACATCCCAAGTACCCACTCCAGGAAGACAGCATGTGTTGAATTGGCCAAGTTTAGCAAAGTTCAGTAAGCATTCACTGAACCTGATTATGAACCTGATTATAAATAAGATACAACGATACAGAAGATATTTTTCCTGTCATCCAGGAACTTTTAGCATGCTGTAATATGTAGTATGCTGTTGTTAGTTGCCCTGGAGTTGACTCTGACTCATGGTGACCTTATGTGTAACAACAAAATGTTGCTGGCCCTGCAGTATCTTCATGATCATTGGTATATTTGAGTCCATCCCATTCATAATTAAATGTCAATTGGGAGAGGATGCATTTGAGTCCATTGTTATTGGCCACTGTGTAGTGCCTTTCAACCCAGGGGGCTCATTTTCCAGCACTATATCCCATTATTCTGTTGTGATCCATAAGGTTTACTCTGGCAGTTTTCAGAAACAGATTATCAGGCATTTCTTCCCAGTCTGTCTTAGTCTGGAAGCTCCACTGAAACCTGTCCACTATGGGTGACCCTATTGTTCTTTGTTGTTGAGTCGATTCTGACTCATAGTGACCCTGTAGGACAGAATAGAACTGCCCCATAGAGTTTCCAAGGAGTGGCTGGTGGATTTGAACTGCTGACCTTTTGGTTAGTAGCCTGAGCTCTTAACCAGTTTGCCACCAGGGCTCCATATGGGTGACCCTGCTGGTATTTAAAATACCAGTGGCATAGCTTCCAGCATCACAGCAACATTTAAGCCACTGCAGTACAACATACAGATAGTTGGTGAACTTTTAGTATAATGGGCTATAATAGCTACCATTTACTATGATGGTGAGTTCCAAACTCTTCAGAGGAAGTCACTGTCACCAAGTCTAAGAACTGGTCACAAGTTTCCTTGCTACTGCTAGCATTGTTAGCTCCTCCTTATTGTTTTCATGATTTCATTGAATAAGCATCGAGGGAGTGCCACCATGGGCAGGCACTCTGAAGACACGGTCTTTGCATTGAGGCACTCCCTCTCTAGTGTGCTTGTTGGCCCACAGGCGTGGAATCAGGCTCTGCAGGGAAGTGGGGGCTTATTTTTTCTGTGTAGCTCCAAGGATATAGTAGTTGTTCGTGCTCTTCCTCCATTCCCCCTTTCCACCCATCTCCTTCATGACTGGCTGTCTCCAGCCCTCATGTCTTCATTTTTCCCTCATCACGTACAACGTGCTGCTATTTCTCCAGAGGGGCTGGATTTCTTCTCTCTGAAAAGAAACTTTCCCAGCAGCACTGACTTACCTCTGTGCTTTTTGTTGTATGTCATGGGTTTCCATCTGCCAACCTTTCTTTGCTGTTTTGCATTACCCCTGACTTCCTCAGAATTCTGTGTAACCTCAGTGGTGTTTTTTTTTTTGGGGGGGGGTGTGGATGGTGGGTAGTGGCTCATTTTCTGCATTTCATAGCTACTCGTAGAGATGATAAGATGGAAAGTAGAGAAGTATTCTTCAAGCCTTTTTACCTTCTCCTGGAACTTGGTGATCACACATCTCACGTAACAAGAGCTAATGATTGAATACTCTCTACCTTGGCAGGGTTACACCCGTGGCTGCCATACCTCGCAGCTAGGGCAGAATTTCAAAAATTAAAATGAACTAAGCTTCATTGTAAACATTTCACTATTTAAAGATTCAGCCGTTCGAATTACCCTGAATTTTTTTCTCTAAAATGTATTATACTACGTGAATAGTTTGCATAACTGAGTGAATGTTTACATGAATAATTAGGATTGAGAGACTCTTAATTGTGCTATGGTGATGGTGACAAAGGTCTATGCTAATTATTGGGCAAGAAACAATATTTGGTGCTCATACTCATTTTGGCTGGCCAGCAAATGATTTGAGCAAAGCCTCCACATCAGGATGGTTACTATTTGCTCTTTCAGTTTTCTTAGCTTCCAAAATCCCTTTTATAGGAGGTTGTGAAGTTAAATCAGAGGAAAATAGCAAAGTCAAAGACTGCTATTTTGTGACCCTTCACATAAAATTTTATGCTTAGGACTAATAGGCTAACCAAACAAAAATGGCTATCTTACTGCCGTGTAATGTAGGAAACTTCAGATTCTGTAAATTAAAACACACACACACACAGGAAGCTTCAGACTGTTAACATTCAGGGGCTACATGAGGCAGGGAAAACCCACTCGAGTACTAGAAGGTAAGAGTTCAGACCTGCTGGTTCAGGGACGCCTGGACCAAATGAAACCTTTGCTTTGCCCTTTCATCGTGTACCATCAAGACCCAAGGCCCCTTTCAGCTTGAAACTCTCAGCTGACTTACAAGCTTTGTTGAAACTGAAAAAAGACTGGAATTTATGACATGATTCTCCCTCACTTTTTCCTATGCTAAGACCATGAAACATATGACCATAATACTGAGTGGAAAAGAAAATAGCTTTTTCATTAAACCATAATCTTGGTTTTGTTCCTCATTTGCTCTTTCACATTCCCATCCTATGGGAAGTACTAAACTGTGCGTTGAAAACCATTTGAGCTAAATTTGATTTTCATCCATGCACATCCAGCTTGCCCTAAAAAGAACGGGAGTTGTGAAAGAGCATAGTGTCTTTGCCTGGATTAAACATGAACAAATGAGGAGTGAATTTGGCCACTTGCTTGTATAATTATCTAACCACTTTAATCATCATGGCGTCAATAAAAGCATTTGTATTTGCAAAACTGCCCTTTAAGCCACAGTATGAGAATCTGCTAGGCGAACCACTCATGTTTTAAGTAGTCTGAACTGATGCCAGACACCAGTAATTTTGCAGTAATGGCCAATCCATGACTTCCTGTCTCCCAGAAAAAATAAAAACAAAACCAACTTTTTTCTTTTGCATCTACCAGAGTCTGAAAGGAGACACCAACAAATGTCCTGTTATCTAAATTCCTTCAATGTGTCAATCAGGTCTGTTTTGCTAAACCTAGAAGAATAAAAGAAAAGATTTCTATATCATTGGAGAATGATTCACATAGCCTTCTCCTTTGATAGTTTAATATTTTTTTTAAGGGTGTCTTTGCATGTCAAGTACCCAGTGGTGATAACAGTGTTTCATCACTCCTGTGGCACAGACCCTGATGATCCAGGTGGCACTAGCCTCATAACTGGGGCAAGTTCTGGAGTTTCCCTGCTGGACAAGAAGGGACCCAAGGATGCTGGATCAAGGGAAGGGGAAGGGGCTCCAGGAGAGGGGCTGGTGGGTGGATGAGGTAGCAGGGGGATAGTATGGGGGCTCAGGAAAGGTGCTGTTTTTCTGCCGGTACGGAAGCATTTCAGCATTTAAACAACCAGCATCACTGCACAAGTGCATCGGCCCTATATGCATCCAATGATCCTATAATATCTAGTAATGGATGATGGATCAGTGATGACAGTCACTTAAACTTTTTCTTCCTTCCTTTCTTTTTTTAAATTCCAGATTGGGGAATTACTGAGCACCACCCACCCTGCCAACAAAGCCAGTTTAACTCTGTTCTGTCCTGAAGAAGGGGACTGGAAGAATTCCAATCTTGACAGACACAATCTCCAAGATTTCATCAATATTAAACTCAACTCAGCCTCTATATTGCCGGAAATGGAAGGACTTTCAGAATTTACTGAGTATCTCTCAGAATCAGTGGAAGTCCCATCTCCCTTTGACATCCTGGAACCTCCTACATCTGGTGGATTTCTAAAGCTGTCCAAGCCCTGCTGTTACATTTTTCCAGGAGGGAGGGGTGATTCTGCATTGTTTGCCGTGAATGGATTCAACATGCTCATCAACGGAGGATCGGAAAGAAAGTCTTGCTTCTGGAAGTTAATCCGACACTTGGACCGAGTGGACTCCATCCTGCTCACCCACATTGGGGATGACAATTTGCCTGGAATAAACAGCATGCTACAGCGAAAAATAGCAGAGCTCGAGGAAGAGCAGTCCCAGGGCTCCACCACAAATAGTGACTGGATGAAAAACCTCATCTCCCCTGACTTAGGAGTTATATTTCTTAATGTACCTGAAAATCTGAAAAACCCAGAGCCAAACATCAAGATGAAAAGAAGCATAGAAGAAGCTTGTTTCACTCTTCAGTACCTAAACAAATTGTCCATGAAACCAGAACCTCTATTTAGAAGTGTAGGCAATACCATTGATCCTGTCATTCTTTTCCAAAAAATGGGAGTTGGTAAACTAGAGATGTATGTACTTAACCCTGTCAAGAGCAGCAAGGAAATGCAGTATTTTATGCAGCAGTGGACTGGCACTAACAAAGACAAGGCTGAACTAATTCTGCCTAGTGGTCAAGAAGTAGATATCCCAATTTCCTATTTAACTTCAGTCTCATCTTTGATCGTGTGGCATCCAGCAAACCCTGCAGAGAAAATCATCCGAGTCCTGTTTCCTGGAAACAGCATCCAATACAACATCCTAGAAGGGCTGGAAAAACTCAAACATTTAGACTTCCTGAAACAGCCCCTGGCCACCCAGAAGGATCTCACCGGCCAGGTACCCACTCCTTCAGTGAAACAAGTAAAACTGAAACAAAGGGCTGATAGCCGAGAAAGTCTGAAGCCAGCCACAAAACCACTCCCTAGCAAATCTGTGCGAAAGGAGTCTAAAGAAGAAACCCTCGACATCACAAAAGCTAATCTTGTGGAAAAGCCACCCAAAGTAGAAAGCAAGGAAAAGGTAACAGTGAAAAAAGACAAGCCAACAAAAACAGACACCAAACCTTCAGTGAGTGAAAAGGAGGTACCCAGCAAAGAAGACCAGCCTTCAGTGAAAACTGAGGTGGCTGAAAAGCAAGCCACAGATGTCAAACCCAAAGTCACCAAGGAGAAGACCGTGAAAAAGGAAACAAAGCCAAAACCTGAAGAGAAGAAAGAGGAGAAGGAAAAGCCAAAGAAAGAAGTGGCTAAAAAGGAGGACAAAACACCTATTAAAAAGGAGGAGAAAACAAAAAAGGAAGAAGTGAAAAAAGAAGTCAAAAAAGAAATCAAGAAAGAAGAGAAAAAAGAATCCAAGAAAGAGGTTAAGAAAGAAACACCATTGAAGGAAGCCAAGAAGGAGGTAAAGAAAGAAGAAAAGAAGGAAATTAAAAAGGAAGAAAAGGAACCCAAAAAAGAAATCAAGAAGATCTCTAAAGACGTAAAGAAACCATCTACTCCTCTACCTGAAGCAAAAAAACCAGCTGCGTTAAAACCAAAAGTACCCAAGAAGGAAGAGCCTGTCAAGAAAGATGACATTGCTGCTGGGAAGCCAAAGGAGAAAGGGAAAATTAAAGTCATTAAGAAGGAAGGCAAGACAACAGAGGCTGCAGCTGCAGCCATTGGCACTGTGGCCACTGCAGCAGCCATGTCAGTGGCAGCTGGAATAGCAGCAACTGGCCCTGCCAAAGAACTTGAAGCTGAGAGGTCCCTTATGTCATCCCCTGAGGATCTAACCAAGGACTTTGAAGAGTTAAAGGCTGAGGAGGTTGATGTAGCAAAGGACATCAAGCCTCAGCTGGAGCTAACAGAGGATGAAGAGAAACTGAAGGAAACAGAACCAGTCGAAGCATACATCATCCAGAAAGAGAAAGAAGTCATCAGAGGTCCTGCTGAGTCCCCTGATGAGGGAATTACCACTACTGAAGGAGAAGGGGAGTGTGAGCAAACACCTGAAGAACTGGAGCCAGTCGAGAAGCAGGGGGTAGATGACATTGAAAAGTTTGAAGATGAAGGAGCCGGTTTTGAAGAATCCTCAGAGACTGGAGACTATGAAGAGAAGGCAGAAACTGAGGAGGCTGAGGAGCCAGAAGAGGATGGTGAAGAAGACGTGTATATGAGAACCTCTAAACACAGCCCCATTGAGGATGAGGAAAGTGTGAAGGCGGAGGCAGATGTGCACATCAAGGAGAAGAGGGAATCTGTGGCCAGTGGTGATGATCGAGCAGAAGAAGACATGGATGAGGCAGTTGAGAAAGGGGAGGCTGAACAATCTGAGGAGGAGGGTGATGAGGAGGACAAAGCAGAGGATGCCAGAGAGGAAGAATATGAGCCCGAAAAAATTGAAGCTGAAGATTATGTGATGGCAGTTGTTGACAAGGCTGCAGAGGCCGCTGGTGCTGAGGATCAGTATGGATTCCTTACCACATCAACCAAGCAACCAGGAGCCCAGTCTCCTGTCCAAGAACCTGCATCGTCAATTCATGATGAGACTTTACCTGGAGGCTCAGAGAGTGAGGCCACCGCTTCTGATGAGGAGAATCGAGAAGACCAGCCTGAGGAATTCACTGCCACCTCTGGCTATACACAGTCTACTATTGAGATATCCAGTGAGCCCACCCCAATGGATGAGATGTCTACTCCTCGTGATGTGATGAGTGATGAGACTAACAATGAAGAGACAGAGTCCCCATCGCAGGAGTTCATAAACATCACCAAATTCGAGTCCTCTCTGTATTCTCAGGAATACTCCAAACCTGTTACATCACTCAATGGATTATCTGATGTGTCAAAAACAGATGCCACTGATGGCAGAGATTACAATGCTTCAGCCTCCACCATATCACCACCCTCATCCATGGAGGAAGACAAATTCAGCAAATCTGCTCTACGTGATGCCTACTGTTCTGAGGAAAAAGATGTGAAAGCCAGTGCCACGTTGGAGATCAAAGACACCTCAGCAGTTTCAGATGAAAAACTTAGCCCATCCAAGAGTCCATCTCTGAGTCCATCTCCACCATCACCCATAGAAAAGACCCCTCTGGGTGAACGTAGTGTGAACTTCTCTCTGATGCCCAATGAGATTAAAGTCTCAGCAGAGGCAGCAGTCCCAGTGTCTCCTGAGGTGACCCAAGAAGTAGTTGAAGAACAGTGTGCTAGTCCAGAGGATAAGACTCTGGAAGTGGTGTCTCCATCTCAGTCTGTGACTGGCAGTGCTGGCCACACCCCTTACTACCAATCTCCCACTGATGAGAAATCCAGTCACCTCCCCACAGAAGTCATCGAAAAACCACCAGCAGTTCCAGTGAGTTTTGAATTTGATGATGCCAAAGATGACAGTGAAAAGCCTTCCATAAGCCCCATGGATGAACCTGTGCCTGATTCGGAGTCTCCTATTGAAAAAGTTTTATCTCCTTTACGCAGTCCTCCCCTAACTGGATCAGAGTCTGCATATGAAAGTTTTCTAAATGCTGATGGTGAGACTCCCGACAGATGTACTGAAAGCCCCTTTGAAGGAACAAATGGAAAACAAGGTTTTCCAGACCAAATAAGTCCAGTTTCTGAAATAACTTCCACTGGTGTTTTCCAAGAGAAACAGGAAAAGAAAAGCACAGACTTTATACCAATTACAGAAGACTTTGGAGAAGAAAAGAAAACTGATGATGTTGAAGCTATGGGGTCTCAACCAGGACTGGCTTTGGATGAAAGAAAATTGGCAGGAGATGTTTCTCCTACACAAATTGATGTCAGCCAGTTTGGATCTTTTAAGGAAGACACTAAGATGTCCATTTCTGAAGGCACTGTCTCAGACAAGTCAGCCACTCCTGTTGATGAGGGTGTCGCAGAAGACACATACTCTCATATGGAAGGTGTGGCTTCAGTCTCCACAGCTTCTGTGGCTACAAGCTCATTTCCAGAGCCAACGACAGATGATGTGTCTCCTTCTCTGCATGCTGAGGTTGGCTCCCCGCATTCCACAGAAGTTGATGACTCCCTTTCAGTGTCTGTTGTGCAAACACCTACCACCTTCCAGGAAACAGAAATGTCTCCATCTAAAGAAGAATGCCCAAGACCAATGTCAATTTCTCCACCAGACTTCTCCCCTAAAACAGCCAAATCCAGGACACCAGTTCAAGATCACAGATCTGAACAATCCTCAATGTCTATTGAATTTGGCCAAGAATCCCCTGAGCACTCCCTTGCTATGGACTTTAGTAGACAGTCTCCAGATCACCCTACTGTGGGTGCAGGTATGCTTCATATCACTGAAAATGGGCCAACTGAAGTGGACTATAGTCCTTCTGACTTGCAGGACTCCAGTTTATCACATAAGATACCACCAGTGGAGGAGCCATCCTACACCCAAGATAATGATCTTTCTGAACTCATCTCAGTATCTCAGGTAGAGGCCTCCCCATCCACCTCTTCTGCACATACCCCTTCTCAGATAGCTTCTCCTCTCCAGGAAGATACTCTATCCGATGTGGTTCCTCCCAGAGATATATCCTTATATGCATCGCTTACCTCTGAAAAAGTGCAAAGTCTGGAAGGAGAGAAGCTTTCACCAAAATCTGATATCTCTCCACTGACCCCAAGAGAGTCCTCTCCCTTATGTTCACCTAGTTTTTCAGATTCTACCTCTGCAGTCAAAGAGGACACAGCAGCTTGCCACACTTCCTCTTCTCCATCAGTGGATGCAGCATCCGCAGAGCCCTACGGCTTCCGTGCCTCAATGTTATTTGATACAATGCAACACCATCTAGCCTTGGATAGAGATTTGACCACATCTGGCTTTGAGAAGGACAGTGGTGGAAAAACACCTGGTGATTTTAGCTATGCCTATCAAAGGTCAGAGAAAACAGCCAGGTCCCCAGATGAAGAAGGTTATACCTATGAGTCTTATGAGGAAACCAGCCAGACCCCAGATGTAGGTGGCTATTACTATGAGAAGACAGAGAGAACCACAAAATCCCCATGTGACAGTGGCTACTCCTATGAGACCACTGAGAAAACCAGCAAGACCCCTGAAGATGATGGCTATGCCTATGAAATTACAGAGACCACAAGGACCCCCGAAGAGGGTGGGTACTCATACATGATAAGTGAGAAGACGATGAGGACCCCGGAAGTGAGTGGTTACACCTATGAAAAGACCGAGAGGTCTAGAAGGCTACTGGATGACGTCAGCAATGGCTATGATGACACTGAAGATGGTGGCCACACACTTGGGGATTCCAGCTACTCTTATGAGACCACTGAGAGAATTACTGGTTTTCCTGAATCTGAAAGTTACTCCTATGAGACATCTACAAAAACCACACGAACCCCTGATACTTCCACTTACTGCTATGAGACCACAGAGAAAATCACCAGAACTCCCCAGGCATCTACATATTCCTATGAGACTTCAGACCGATGCTACACTGCAGAAAAGAAGTCCCCCTCAGAGGCCCGCCAGGATGTTGATTTATGCCTCGTGTCCTCTTGTGAATACAAGCATCCCAAGACAGAGCTTTCACCCTCCTTTATTAATCCCAATCCTTTGGAGTGGTTTGCCAGTGAAGAGCCAACCGAAGTGTCTGAGAAGCCTCTCATTCAATCAGGGGGAGCCCCGCCACCTCCAGGAGGCAAGCAACAGGGGCGACAGTGTGATGAAACCCCTCCCACTTCAGTCAGTGAGTCGGCCCCATCCCAGACAGACTCAGATGTTCCCCCAGAGACTGAAGAGTGCCCCTCCATCACAGCTGATGCAAACATCGACTCTGAAGATGAATCTGAAACCATCCCCACAGACAAAACTGTCACATACAAACACATGGACCCACCTCCAGCACCCATGCAAGACCGCAGCCCATCTCCCCGCCACCCTGATGTGTCCATGGTGGATCCAGAGGCCTTGGCCATTGAACAGAACCTAGGCAAAGCTCTGAAGAAAGACCTGAAAGAGAAGACCAAAACCAAAAAGCCTGGTACAAAGACCAAGTCATCCTCACCTGTCAAAAAGGGTGATGGGAAGTCTAAGCCCTCTGCTGCTTCCCCTAAACCAGTGGGCTTGAAAGAGTCTTCAGATAAGGTGTCCAGAGTGGCTTCTCCAAAGAAGAAAGAATCTGTGGAGAAGGCAACAAAAACCACCACCAATCCTGAGGTCAAAGCTGCCCGTGGGGAAGACAAGGAGACCAAGAATGCCACCAACGCCTCCACATCCAAGTCGGTAAAGACCGCAACTGCAGGTAGGTCAGGGAAGATGTGGGCACCCTGACGTAGACCACAACAGTTCTACTTTCATTTGAAGAAACCATTTGGAGCCTTTCAATTTCCCTGTTTGACTTTGTGCTAGGGTGATGAGAAAGCACAAATTGGTGCTTTACCTTCTCTTTACTATCCTCTTCCTGGCAGAAGGTAGATATCACAGCCCTGTGAGCCCCTTAGACTTTGAGACAGCTCAGCATATGACCCAGAGAAGCTCTGGCTCGCCAGATGGGATTCCTGGGTCTGCACCATTCTGGAACACAGCAGCTGAAGCTCCATTCTAAGTCTTCAGAACCAAGGGGGTGTGTGTTTAAACCCTCCCTGGCAGACTGTGTCAGCGTTGGCTTCAGCCACTCTGGCCCCAGAATCAAGCTGAGGTGTCACAGGCCAAAGCTCCCAAAGGATAAGGGAAGACCAAAGGTTCTAAGTCGAGCCTGGAATGGGCAATTTAACCCCAAGATTTATATTCCAAATTTTTTTTTCTGTTTAAAAAAAATCACCAGGCTGGAGGTGCCTCCCCATTAAAGGCAATGCTCTGTTTTATTATCAGCCAACAAATACCATAATTTCAGTTGACCAGTGGGTACTCAGTAGAAATTGAGAAAAAAGCATTGAAGGTTCTCACCTATTCCCTTCTTATTCACAGCCTCGCTAGTAGAGACTCATCACACTTTCAGATTGAGATCCCACTTGGTAGCGACCTTAGCTCTGATCATTCCTGTTTTGGTCTCGATTCCCAGACTTATCATGTTCTCAGAAATGACCTGGGTTTTTGATGGAACATGTGACCCAGCTTCCTCTCGTTGCTTCCAGCCCATCACAACGATTTGCATTAATACATTTTATTTGCTCTATGCAGTTAGTTGGGGTTTTCAGGTCACAGTTCACAAAGTTATATAAATTGACCCAAACATATAAAGCAAAATATAAATAACATTTCCTTGATTTATTGGGGAAAATCTGATTGATGAAGCTTTAGAGCTCTCAAATTCAGTACATTTTAGGAAGTATCAGTTACAGCTACAAATTTTCACTTGAAACAATATGAAGCACCGATTTCAGGACTCGGTTCTTGTCAGATTTGTTTTTTTACATACATGTAGAAAACAAACTGCATCTGTTCATGCTTAGAGTTAATGAAAAACCACCAGACAATTCCCTCCTTGGTCTGAAAGAGCTGTCAGCCCATCCACACTTAGGAGAAAACACGAAATCCATTCAAACTGATTAAAACAAACTTAAATGTGCCACCAAACCTGTCAGAACATATGCCCTAGCCCACACAATTGATTTTTTAAAAATCTTTTTGGTCATTTAAGGAAGTAATTTAAAGGCAAAGTAATAAATAGTTAATTTGAGCTTACAATAAAATGTTTTTTGATGGATTTCTAAATAGGGTAAATTGCACTATTAATTGATTTCTGAAACAAACTTGGGTTGACTTTTGGCAGTTTCCTCGGTTCGTGTTTCCGTGAGCAATATTCATCTGCTATTGACAGCAGTGATTGAGTGCTCAAGTTATTAGAATATAGGGAACACAAACTTCTGCTACAACTCACAATTCTTTAGGAGGCCACAAATGGATATTTTGAAGGCTTTCGGCTCAGATTCATTAAAGTGACCAGTTAATCTAGTCAAAAAATAAGTCCATTTATTCAAATATCCTTTTGGCTGATTCTTACCTTCCAACACGCCCCACAAAAAATAAAATTGGACAATTGACAGAATTCACTGATGGTTTTGACTGTGTGATGACAGCCTTTGAAAATCCCATAGATAATGGAAAGAGGTTCAAGCGTAGAAGATCCAGCTCATGTTTTAAATGTCTTCAGAGCAGTGGCCGCAAACCAGCTGCATTAGAATCACCTGGGGTGGTTTTAAAAAATGGTGGTGCCCAAGCTGCAGCCCCAGCCCAACTGTAAATCAGACTCTGGAGGGTGGGGCCTGGCATCAGTGTTTTTCATGAGCGCCTCAGGTGATTCTACTTGTGCATCCAGGGTGAAGAGCCACTGCCTTAGAATCCTAGTTCTGTTAGTGTTTCAAAAACTTTAAACCAGAGATTTCTGAATTAGTTTTGTCAGTATGAGTATGTTTGTTGAGGATTGGGGTGGAGTGGGGAAAGGGATATAATAGTAGCTTCTCCTAATATGAGCCATAGTAAACAATGAACATTTTATTTTAACTGATCATGGCTCATCGTATAAACTCAGTCTCAACTGGAGTCTCTATCATCTCTTCCTGTTAGTCATACTGTATTTGCAAAGATTTAGCCTTAATTTTAATGGCTTGTGTTCTCCACATCAGCCCCTGCCCAGACTTCAGTCTTGGCCTGAGTGGGCTTCTCCGCTGGGAGGCAGTACTATTCTCAAGCAGAAAAGCTAGCACAAGGCCTGCTGAGGGGCACACCAGTTAGAAGAGCCTGCAGGGACTCAGCTGCAGCAGATTTCTGTCTCCCTCACCCAAGAGAAAGCAAAAGGGGGAAAAAGGGCCCGCAAGCTTTGGGAGAACTGGCTGAGGTGACCCCTGCTTCCTGGAACAAGTGAGAACGCCAGCTCACCAAACTAGATGTCAGGAGACTTTTGCATGTGATCTGAATTCTTAGTTTGCCCGGGCTGTTCTGATTTAGACTGGGAATTTTGGCTACAAGATGCCCCTCTCCTCCGTCTGGTATGTCCTGCTTGGCTAGAGAAAGCCTAGTCTTTCTGAACCTTCCTCTTGCCAAAGCTCGGTATCCAGCCTTGTTCTAGGGAGGGACGTCTGGCTTTTCAGAGTATTGTGCTAAGGAGAGAACACAGTGGTTTGTCACTGCTTATGAATGGGGCCGAGGTGCTGAGGGCCTTTGAAATCCATATAGGATTGAAATCTGATCCATTTATGAGATCCAAAGTGAGGGTATTCAACTGCTTGTAAAATTGCTATGAATGAGATCCTAGAGTGGATTCCTGGGATCTCTTGACTATGATTTACCAAATGCAGGTGCCTCCCTTTGACTTGAAAATCTGTGTCTTAGATCATTTTTCAAATTAAGATGCACATTAGTAGCTCCTGAAGGAGTGTTACTATCTAGTTTCATCTTTTGGGAAGGCCTGGAAATGCTCTCCTAATGAGTTGTTCACAAAGGGAAACCATCCACTTCTTCATTTCTCCTCTTTTGATGGTAAACTACCATGTTACGTTTTCTCAAATTGTCAGTGTTGAGTGCCCTCCACAGGTTCCCAGGGGATGGAAATGCCCAGTGCCCCCATTGTACATCCCAGAGAATTTCCTCATGAGGGAAGGTGGACTGGATGTATAGGTCCCTTCTCATTGCTGTGACCCTTTCTTTTCCTTTGTCTTTGTTTACTTACCAAAGGACTAGGAACCACCAAGACAGCCAAATCCTCAGCCGTGCCTCCAGGTCCCCCTGTGTATTTGGACCTGTGCTATATTCCCAACCACAGCAATAGTAAGAATGTTGATGTCGAATTTTTCAAGAGAGTGAGGTCATCCTACTACGTGGTGAGTGGAAATGACCCTGCTGCTGAGGAGCCCAGCCGGGCTGTCCTGGACGCCTTGTTGGAAGGGAAGGCTCAGTGGGGCAGTAACATGCAGGTAAGAGCGCAAGGACGGTGTCTGCACTGCTGATGGAGCTGTATCCAGAGACACCTTTATGACTGTGGATCCACATGAGGTGCCTCATGGGTCTGTCACATATGACATATCCTGAGGGCAAAGCAGGTTTAACAAACAGAACATGGTCTCAAATATTAGTGTTGGCACCAGTGCCATGCCCTTGGAGGAAGGCCACTTCACCTCTAGAAGGGCATAATTAATTTATCTGCAAAATGGGCCCAAGATTACTTGCCCTGCCCCCTAATATACCAAGAGTATTGTGTGTGCATGAATCAAAGTGGTCATATTTAAATGTGAGAGCTACTAAAGAATTGTCTTTACTCCTTTGTGTTTCATAAATAGACCAGGCTAGGAATATGGACTTTTAGAAAATCAGCTGTCCATGTGAAATTCCACAGGAGGAGCATTGCTGAAAATGGTCCTCAACAGGACGCTTCCAACTGTCTACTTCCAAACATCATGTCTGGCCGTGAGCCACCCCATATTATTTCAGCTATAATCCTTCCTTCTCTATGTTTTGCTTGTGGTTCTTCAAAGTCACATAGTAAACTATGTTTGCATAATATTAAATAGAATTGCTTGTTACTTAATCATATGAAATTTAATGAGAAGCACCCAGTGCCCTCTTAATGAATACTAGATGAAGTTTTTCTATTCAAGCCGTTACCCACGCACCTCACTCCTCCACCCCCAACCACACACACAAATTAAAGATACAAATCTTTGTTCTCAGGATGAAGTGTTAGTTACACACAATAGTGGACTTCTAAGGGCTTTAAGCTACCGTAATAGCTAAAACTCCTTGGATTAAATATATAGCACTTTAATGCAAAACTCACCAGTTGTGTTAAAGGAAATACAAGAATTTGCACCGTAACTGAAGCACTTCTCTTAACACTAAAATCGAAAAGCTGACAGTGAATATAGATGAACTTATTGACTTGTCATTAGCTGCATTTGGTTCCAGCCTTCAACACCCCTCCACCAAAAAATAATTTTTTTGCGGCTTTATTCTGGTTCCTGGAAAATTTAAGCTGAGAAGTCCTTTGCATTTCTTGAGCAAAATAGAAAATGTTCCTTTCTTTCGCCTTCTTCTAATGGTCTAACTAACACATCTTGTCATTGTTCTCCTATATATATATATATATATATATATATATTTTTAATCTGGTTTCTGGCTCTGCCCTTAAATAGCTGTTTTTTTCTCTCCCTGCAGGTGACCCTGATCCCAACTCATGACTCAGAAGTGATGAGAGAATGGTACCAGGAGACCCATGAGAAACAGCAAGACCTCAACATCATGGTTTTAGCAAGCAGCAGCACAGTGGTTATGCAAGATGAATCCTTCCCTGCATGCAAGATTGAACTGTAAAAACCAAGGCCAGCCACACCACAGGATTTGAACTTTGTGTCCAGAAATTCTTCAATTTGAAACCGTCTTTTCTAAAAAAATCAATTCGTCTAATTAAGTCGCTGAACTATTACCTGCCAAATGCTATACTGTGTCATGGTGATACAAGTCACTAATATTTCTCAGTTTTTGCTGATTGCTAAGGGAAGTAACAGTATTCCCACAATAGGGTTCAAATTACTGCAGAATTACCTACCCCAGTTCATCTCTGCTGAACATTTGGAAACCATGCACTAGCAAACCCAACTGACTTCTGCTAGGTAGAGGCATTTGTCTTAGAGAGCGAGCGAGAGAGAGCCAGAGAGAGCAAGAGCAAGAGTGAGAGCAAGCGCACAAAGAGAGAGAACACAGGAGAGAGAGGAACAGAGAATGAGAAAGAAAAAGAATGCAAGAGAAGGAAATGTAATGGAAAGATTGCTGGTGAGATACCCAGAGAGAAAAAGAGAGCAGGGTGGGGTAAGGATGAGAAAATAACCAAGAGTTAGGTCTGCATTTTCTCAGGCAATAGGCATTCTGTAGTCTACCTAGGGAAACTTTTTAATCTGTGTCAGTCTGAGTCATCAAAAAAGGTCTTACTTTTCTAAAACAAGTCGGTGGAAGAAAACAAAAAGAACAAAACTTGTTACGAAGGCATGTGAGGTTTTCATGCCTTAATTAAGCCCCTTCAGTTTGAGGGCTGCACGCTGACATAGCATAGCGAGTGTAGACTGGCCATTCAAGTGGTTTGAACCCCCTTTGGAACTCTCAGACTTTGTAAACACACGACTAGGTTGATCTAAGGCATGCTCCCAGCATTTGTCCACCCACTTAGGCCACTCTGAGTCAATTAACCTGCATGTGTCAACACCCAAGTTCACCCCAATTAACTGAAGCAAATACCAAAGCAGTTGGGAGTATACACGGTAGACAATTTGCCTTAGAAAGTGACTTGAATGTACAAAGATACTTGATGCACTTATTTTTTAATGTGAGACGGCAAGTTTATAAAACATCCGTGTAGGATTATAGATACTTGAGTTAAAGGAGCATGTGTGTGCGCGTGTGGGGGTACTAGAAGCTGATCTGATCGGTGCAACGGTTTGATGCTGAGTCATGCGTGTTGAACACCACCTCAGTGCACCTGTGGCCCCTCAGCCAAACAAGTTGAGCCTTTCATAGCTTCTTTACTACTGCAAGTTCAAGATTGAAATGGCTTCTGTGATCAGAACTGGGAAAACAGTGGATCTTGTAGTGGAAGAGGTTCTCAGCAGGTGTACAGTATTTACCTTCCTTTTGTCTTACATTCGCTTTTTTTATTTTCCATTAATTTCAACGTAATAATGGGAACAAATGTACAGAAGAATTTTTTTTTTTTAGATATGTGAGAACTTTTCATAGATGAACTTTTTAACAAATGTTTTCATTTACAGGAAAATGCAAAGAAGATTTTCAAGTGACAGTCTTTTTTTAAGTGTTTCGTAAGACAAAAAAATGAATGATGTTTTTTGAAGTTCTGGTGAGATTGAAGTCTGATATTGCAGTAATAATATTAAAAACCCATAACTACCAGGAATAATGATACCTCCCACCCCTTGATTCCCATAACATAGAAATCTGAGTATGTGCTATTTGAGAGTGGGGGAGAATGGCATGGTAGGCTATGTTTCAGGGCCTTTACAGGTACATCATCCTACATACTTCTTTCAAGATGTTCAACCATGAGGTAAAACAGCCAAGCCAAGATCAAAGAACCCTAGCACAAATTTGCTTTGGGATTTTCTTTTCTGGAAAAAAAAGTAAAAGAAATAATACATTGAAAGCAAATGAATTCCCAACTCCTACGATTCATCATGTAGAGTCCAGAGATCATTTTCCATCATTGAACTGTGAACCTGGGAAGCCAGATTATGGTTAAAACTGATGTCAGGTTTCAAGTTGCAGATCACTGCACCCAGTGTTCAGATGGAACAACTTCTCCGAGACAACTGAACTGTGTTCTGTCATGTTGCATTTCCTGCAGACTCTGAGATCTACAAAGTAGTGGACAATGACCTCATTTTATCGTCTGTTATTTATTTCAAAATTAACATTGTTAGTTTACTTTTGACTGATAAGTGTATGTTTTGCACTGCTAACTGCTATGAGGGTTTAAACAATGCTTTTCCAGGGTCCCTTCACTGGGGGATTACGCAGTCTTCTTAATGCTGTGAATTACATTTTTCAAATGTTTAGTTTTTTTTTTTTTTTAATTAATCTATTTTTGTTAGGCTTTTCTAGAAACACTTTTATTTATTACCCCGTTTCTTTTAAGTCCTTCAAAAGAACACATTGATTAAGGGTACAAACAATTAACACACAATGGAAAAGTCATTGTGATAAAAATGATTTTATTGAGTATAAACTCATCTATTCAAACTTATTTCATGGGACCACTTAAGATACTCAAGATAATTATTTAACAGTTAGCTGTTAAGTTGAATTGGTTCACATAATGCAAGTGAGGAGAAACCAATTTGCAGCCTTCTTGCCAAATCCAGACCTCTGGTTGATTTTTCTTTGCGAGAAGATGGAATTATTTTCCAGTTTCCCAAATTAAATTTGTTTAACATGTACATTACTTTGCTTTAAAAAGTACATTTTAGGAGACTTATAGCCGATCTTCAATTATAACCACTCTGTGCCACTCCTGTCTTCTTTTCTGCTATGGGATTTAATGGAAAAAATATACAAAAACTGTCACTGGTCAACTGGCTCTTTTTCCTATAAAATATTTCAGTACCTTTCTCCACCCGTTGTTCCCAGTGATGACCACCAGGAAAACCAATATTTGCATTACAGGTTGCTCCTGTCCTTCCAGACACCTTTCCTACCTGTGTGACTAACCTAATTTTGCTAGTTCCATATGTACACAATTATTTTGTAACAGCCATCACAATGTACCATGTACATTCATGGTGAGAGCTGAAGATTGACAGACTTCTGGGAGCTTTGTTTGATACTGATTACTGACTCCAGTTGTATAGATTGAGTATTTGAGTGGAAAGAATTTACACTCTGTTGAAATGATGGGATTCCATCGAGATAGCGCTCATGATCATGACCTTTCTGGTAGTATTCTTAAACAAAATTCTACAGAGACTAAATGTTAGAGATGATCCTCCATTTTCAATTTTAACCAATTCTATCCCTTTCTCCAAACCCCAACCCCTGTGCATGCTTTCTCAGTCTTGTGGTGGGACTGGATACAATGACTGACTCCCCCTTTAAACGCCATTTCCCATGGAGTTAAAAAAATTTTTTTTTAACTTTACATATCATAGTGAATGGTTTTCCCAGTGTATATGAATGTTTTAAGTGTCTCCAATAGCTTACGCAGTTTAGGAGCTTTCCAATACTCTTTTAATAAGATTTAATCATTCGCTAATGGAATTTTACCATCTTCCATTTTCCCTCTGTTCCCAAACTTCAGCTCTCAGGAGCTGTTCTACAATTCCGAAGTTGCTTTTATTGCCTCTCTTTAGTCACCTGTCACAAGAGGTTCTTGCTCAGTAATAATATTGTGAGTTAGGTTAATAACCTTTTTTTTTTTTTTTGCACTTCTGATTTAGAAGAAAAGACCTTGTTTCCATATGAAAGGAACTGTAGGCTTTTATCTTTTAGCCAACTGAACAACACACCAAAAGCAGCCTAGGGATGAGCATTTTTTCAAAAGCAATTAGGTTATTCACCTGGTATTAAAACTATTTGCTATTAAAAAAAAAAATCTGTGACTTTACTAAGTAAATATAAAAGGCAGCATCAAAAGCTGAAAAGGAAGAGAAAAAATAAACAGCTTCTCTGCCCTCGTTTGGAGCTCCCAGAACAGGAGACACTGACCGAGAAGAGGCATCAAGACTGGGCTGCCCGGGTGAGCACAGCGCCGAGACACGCGCTGCATGCAGCCTTCTCTTCCCCCTGGGAAGGAGCAGTCTTGAGCCCGACTGAGAAGCTCCTCACACTCCTCTCTCTTGTTCTGAATGGTGTTTGTGTCAGTCTGCAGCTGTGTATGGTATTATGTCTTATAATCCTGCATCACTTCTATCCTATCCAGTCATATCTAATGTAGAAAATTAGTTTCCAGTGAAAGTAATATGTAGTGCTTTTATGATATTTGTGTGCAATATCCCCTCTTCCGTTGAGGATATTTGATGTAAAAGAAAAAAAAAAAAAAAAAAAGCTCAGTTCCACAATAAAATACAAAAGTGGCAAAAGTTCTTGTGTGTGCTGTCTTTAACTTTGTGTTGTTGAGTTTGGCTCACTGGGAGTTGGGGTTTTCCGCCCACACAGAACCCAGGCAGCTGAGGCATTTATGGCGGGTGAGAGTATGTTCTTCTCACAGGGGATCTGGGCATTTGGCAAGCGGTGAGAGGGCCCTGCTCCTAATCTTTGCATCAGCTACTAGCCAAGCTGTTGAGTACTTTAGGGTTTAAGGACATACCAGTGTTAGAAACTAGGAGGTGAGGGGAAGGGACAATTAAAATTATTGCTTAAAGAAAAAAAAGGTAGGAGGCTATGGTAGTTCAGTGGTAGAATTCTTGCCTTCCATGTGGGAGAGTTGATATGATGCAGAACAGATTTCAGTGGAGCTTCCAAACTAAGACTAGGAAGAAAGGTCAGGAGATCTACATCTGGGAAAAAAAGAAAATGACCCCATTGTGCATGGGGTCGCCATGAGTGTGGGGCTGACTCAATGACAACTAACAATAACAACAACAGAGCAAATTAGCTAAACATTAACCTTAAAAAAAAAAAAGACCAGTATAGTTGAAGGAGGCTATTGGGTAGGTTTCCTGTACAAACCACAAATCAAGAAGATACCAGACACCAGGTTCTAATAATCCTAGCTCTGCCACACCTAGCTGCAAACCACTGTCACTTTACCTGTCTGGCATTCCTTTCCTCATTTGTAAAATGAGAGACTTTTGACAAGATGGTCACATTTGATGGTCTCAAGGCTGATACTCTGGGCTCCACAAAGCTTTTGGCTAAGAGCCACTCATTAACTACACCCAACACGTTATTATCTCCATCTTTCCTTTTCCTGCGTGAAATGAAAACGTACATACAAAACCCAACTCCAAACAGAAAAAAAAGGCAGTGGGAGGTCCTCTTAACACAGTCATAAAATGTAACTTTTCCAATAAACTAATTTGCTTATTTCAGCCATGAATTTAATGTTTAAACAGGTTTCCTTCCATCTTACCATGCTTATCTTTGGGTAGAGCATTTTTCCAGGTTGAGGAATTTCAAGTTAGAGGTTTCTTTCTGTTCGTGGGTTTATCATGCTTGAGCCTCTTCAAATTACAAGCTGGCAGAGCATGGGACTGGAGACACTGAAGTGGTTTCTGGCTCTTGAAAAGGGTCTGAACCAGCTGGTTCAGGTGACTCCACTAGTGTCACCATAGTAGGCCTGCCATCTTAGGTTAGGTTCTACCAATTCAAGAGCAGTCTTGACTCTGAAGTGCCACTGTCTGCGTGCGTTTTCCGGAGAGTATGGGTAACTTCCAGTGGTTCTGGGTTCTGCCTTCCACTCTGACTAGAATTACAACCCATGAGACTTAAGGCCGCCCCTGATACCCAATCCACTCATGGATGCCCGCAAGGAACAGCCAGAGGTGGAGATCCTAAGAGAAGCACATCAGAGCCTATTTGTAAAGGGCTTTAGTGTTACGCTGGGACTACACAGGTAGGTGAGTTTATGAAACAGGATCTCAGCCTCTAGAATCACAATGGGCGTACTGGGGCGATCAGTACTCTGGAAAGAATGAGTTTTCAAAATTGAGGTGCTATGGAGAATTCAGAAGTCCCTAGGTGGCGCGAGTGATTACACACTTGACTACTAGCCAAAAGGCTGGCGGACGGTTTGAACTCACCCAGAGGTGCTTTGGAAGACAGGCCTGGCGATCTGCTTCTGAAAGGTCACAGCCTTGAAAACCCTATGGTGCACTTCTACTCTGCACACATGGGGTTGCCATGAGTTGGAGTCAACTCAGCGGCAACTAACAACAACAACATAGAGAATTCAGAGACTTTGCTCTTAAAATTTGGAAGCATATTAGCATACTAATGTAGCAAAGTTTTCTTAAAAGTTTCTTGTAAACATTACAATAAAGGCAAAGAGAAGGAAAGTGAAAAGTATGATTATAGGCCACATTGTAGGTCTAAAATGACTTTGACTTGCATTTGGTATTACTGTAGTCTATCATTTGGTTGAGCACCTAATTAGTTTCTTGCTCATTACTACAGAATAAGCTCTATATTTAAACAAACAAATAAACCCATTGTTGTTGAGTCAGTTCCAACTCACGGCAAACCCACGTGTTACAGAGTAGAACTGAGCTCCATAGGGTTTTCTTGGCTCTAATCTTTGTGGAAGCAGATTGCCAGGTCTTTCTTCTTTGGTGCTGCTGGGTGGGTTAGAATTGCCAATCTTTCAATTAGTAGTTGAGTACAAACTATTTGTGCCACCCAGGGACCTAAGCTCCATACAAATCACATTAATGTGCTGTGGATTTGACTCATACCCAGGGACTAAAGATTGTTTAGGAAAAGTGACTGTATATAACAAACAGTACCTGAAAAGAGGAGGAATTCCTGTCAGGCATTCAAATGACTATTGTACCGTTACTCTGTACTCAGAAGTGGATTGTATCGTGGGGATTTAAAGGTCAACAAAACATAACTGCTGCCTTAACTGACTGAGGAAGGCAGACCAGCAAAGAGGGAATGGTACCATATTGCAACATGGGGTTCCAAAGTTCAAGGGCGACTTTAAGTAACCCTAGGGAAGGCACCAGAGTGACGTCTCAGCTGGAGTGTGTATGTACGTGTTTGTGTGTGTGTGTGTGTGTGCTGGGCAGAAAGCACATTTCAGGCAGGGGAAACACCTCATACAAAGACTCAGTGGAGCGCAGGGTCAGCATATGTTGGGGAGCGGGTAGAGTGGGAGGGCCTGGCACCTCAGTTGCCTCCACATGGCCACTCACACATAAAACTTCAGAGATGGTTCTTTGGCCTCAAAAGGTCACTGTAGCCTGTCCTGAGTCATAATGATGTCTCTTTGTCTATCACATATACTCCCTGACCTTACGTTGTACCTCCAAATTATGGAGTTCATTAACTGATCCTATTAGAAGTCACTATTAGCCAGGAGGGATTCTGCAATCTCTCTAGAAATTAAAGGCTAAGCATGTCAGACCTCAGCGTGGGAAAGCATTACTAAGAGATTTTACTTACATCTATCAGATTAAACTTCAATAGTTGTTTTCTATTCTACTGCCAAACTACTGAGTTCTGGCTTGAACCCAGGGCGACCAGCCATCCTTGGTTTTCCCAGGACAGTTCTAGTTTGGTTTTAGCACTGAAAGTCCTGAGTCCCAGGAAATTTCTCAATCCTGGGCAAACCAGGTCACCCCACCTGAACCTCTCCCTGCTCTTTATATTCCCTTCCCTCCCATCCCTTCTAGACCTGGGCTCAGCAAAAATGGGGAAGAGTTCATCCCCTTTCAGCTAGTCGTTTTCTATACCTTGAAGGTAGCTGTCTTTCATTTTCTTTTTTTCCTGTCTTCCAGTCAAATTGTATTGCTCATTCTGGATGCTTTTGTGTCCTTACAATGATCTTGTAACACACTCCTGACTCACGAATTCTTGGCCTCTTGCATAACTCCTGGTCACCATTTCTTCTTTGATCTTACAGTGTGTCTTGGAAACGCACTGGAGCCCTGTATGCAGGCTGAGTTTTGGTCACACTCAGTTCCTTTACTATGAGCAGTTCTTCTGGCTGACTCTCTAGGGGTTACTGGTGATGTTTTCACAGATGATAGAGCAGTGCTGATGAGGCTTGGTTCACAGGGTGGTCTCTCCATAGACCAAAAGGCACAGCTCTACTTTATGGTTCATATGGTCCCCACACAAGCCAGAAATGCATGGTGCATTAATGTAGGTTCATGGACTTAAATGCCATGTATAAATGGATGACTTGTACACTTGTATCTTCAGCTGAACCTCTTCTCTCATCTCCAAACTTATATATCCAGCTGCTTATTAAGACCTCTGTTTGGATGTCCAATAAGGACTTTTAACACACCCCAAACCAAATTTAACATGCCCCCAGCAAACCCCGATCTCCGTCCCCAACCTGCTTGTCCCTTAGACTTTTCCACCTCAGCAAACGGCAAATACATAATTCCAGTTGCTCAGGTCAAAAAACTTGGCCAGTCAGCAAATCTGCTGGCTCCATCTGCCAAATACATCAGAACAGGCCCTTCTCCCCACTTTCACTGACATGACCCTTGTTCAAGCTACCGTCATTCCTCTGGGATTGTTGCAGTAGCCTCCTAACAGATCTTCCTGTTTCCTTGATCACCTTGTGAACCAAGCCTCTTAAGCACTGCTCTATCACCTGTGAAAACATGGTCGGTAACCTCTAGAGAAGTTTATTCTTCACATAGCAGCTAAAGTAATCCCCTAAAAACGTTAAGTTGCATCATGCCACCTAGTGCTCAAACATTTCAAGTGGGTCCTCATCTCGGGTCCTTACTAATGGGCTAGAAGGCCTTACACAATCCATCCCTTCCTATGCCCCTTCTCTCTCTGACCTCATCTCCCCTACTCCCCACCTGACACATTCTACTCCAGCCACATTGGCCCCTCACCATCCCTCAGACACGCTAGAAATGCTTCCATTTCAGGACTTTGCACAGACTGTTTCCTTTGTCTGCCACGCTTTCCTCCCAGGTGGCTCCATGGCTCTCAACCTCACTCCCTTGGGTCTTTGCTCCAATGTCATCTTCTCAGGACTTCCCTAACTAGTGTGTTTTAAATTGCGCCTCCACCACTTAACCAGCATTCTCTCTCTCTTACTTGCTTTATTTTTCTCCATATCACTCATCACCATATGACACTTTATAGACTTATTAGTTTATTATCTGTCTCACTCCACAGAATGTAAATGCTACAAGGGAAGGAATCTTTTTCTTCCTTGCTATATCCTGAGTGACTATTTTAACAGTGCCGGGCATATAGTAGGTATTCAATAAATACTTGCTGAATGAATATATGACATAGTCTCAGGTTGACATGGTAAAGTTGTTGGAAAGTGGGCTTGGAATCAGACACATTTGGATGCAAACGTTGTCCTTGCCACTTACTAATTGTGTGGCCCTGGGCAAGTCAGATAAGTTTGTTTTCTCCTCTATAAAATGGGGATAATAATT